CCCCGATAGCTTAGGCACACCTTTAAAGTATAAATTAGCATCAGGTCCCTCAGTGGAATATTTCATTATATACTTATCTGTATCAATGCCATTTAAATAAGCGTACATCTTTAAATACCTTAAACTATCCATGGCAACTATTGTTCTACCTCTGTCGACTTTCATAGCAATCAAACTATTGTGGTGAAATTATCTAGAAATACTAACTAGATCACAAGATTTCTTGGAATCACCTCCAATTTGGTACGATTTTTAACCTCCTCGGGAAGCCAGCAGAACGGTAGCCGATAGTTATGGCATCAGAATATCTTTCATTTGCTCAAGTAATATAATCTGGTATAAAATGACCTTCCCGATATTGCCACTTGGCTGACAGCTCGTTGAATATTAAGTCGCAGTTGCTAACATCAAAAGTAGCTGCATCTTGTAGATACGAAGAAAAACTGAGTTTCGATGAATCTCCTCAGATAACATTGTCGTAGGGGTTTTCATTTCGTATGAAAATGTATGAAGAAGAGATTCATAGGTCGATCTCACCAGATGAGAACGGATGAATCCCGTTGCACTGCAGCCGTTTGGCTTTTATACGATGTTCAGGCTGACGCAGTCCACGAGACTTCCTCCCTCGTTTCGGGTGAAAACGGGCTTAGCATTCTTCAATCATATGATGGACATCATCAGAGCTAAGTAACATTCTTGTAGAAGTCTCACGTTAACATTATGGCAAGAAGACTATTCGGCTCTATCTTATGTCTTTTATAGACTCAATTAAGCCAAAAGTCTATATAAGAGAAAAGATAGAGTCGGATAGTCTTCTTGCCACAGTTTTAACGTGAGACCTTTACAAGAATGATACTTAGCTCTGATGATGTCTATCATATGATGTACAAAAGCTCAGCCCGTTTTCAGCCGAAACGAGGGAGGAGGTCTGGTGGACTGCGTCAACCTGAACGTCGTATTAAAGCCAAACTGCTGCAGTACAACGGGATTCATCCGTCCTCATCTGGTGTCATTGACCTACGAATCTCTTCTTCATGCTCTTTCACACGAAATGAAAGTCTCCCCAACAATAGCTGCATCTTCACGTTTGCTATCGACTACGACAACTTACTCCAGGCAACCGAAAGGCGGCGAAATGCGTTTCTAGCGACTTAATAGACTCCGTCTTTGACGGTCTCTCAAAGAACTCTTGGCCACTTCATATGCTGTCATAGTTTTTGCTTTGACACAGTAGGACGATCCCATCTTATCAAAACTCGCTCATATTTTGGCTCATTTCAACTAAAAAGAAAACTCTTCTTAGTTCTGAAAAAGGGTGATTCGATTCTACAAAAATGCCGTTCTGACACAAGAACGTTAATCGGTGGCTTGATAAGATTACTCAAATTCTGGATAAGAAGATTGGCTACGTAGACTAAATTCTCATGGGCTAGATACAACATCGACTTTCGCAAACGGAGACCCACGTCTATGGTGCTCGACTGAATGACCTGTTGCTCGAAACCGGAAATTGTTTACCTCATCCTCTCACTGAACATTCGCGCGCCCAGATCAACAGTGACCGAATCGGTGCAAGCGAGTGAAAAATGAAGAACATTATAGACCTTCATGCATCCTCAAACTTTGCTTGGTTTTCTCCATAAGACCGTAAAGCATCAATATGGAATCGTCAAAAACCAAGCCGATATTATGTGCAATGCACTGGTCGAGATCAAGGTGAGGGCAAATCCGGATTCTGAAACAACACTATATCTGGCGAATGATACCTGCAGTCAGATTGCCGGAGAAGGGCTATATCGAATAGTTGTGGTGCTCCACAACTTCTATCCTCTTTCTCGTGCAAGTCCACTTAAATCTAGATATAGTCTATTCTGATTAGCCTATGGGGTGTATGTGTCGATTAAGCACTTCATATATTGACTTATTTGGAAACAATTCCGCATTATTTCTTAAATCACATTTATAATAGAATTGTCGATACTATTTAAATCAAACGCGTTAATTGTATTTGGAATAAGTGTATTTCATGATATAATTAAATAATTATCGATAGTCTCAAAGCATACTAATTAACGATGCATATTTAAATTAAAAGTACAAGTTTGTTTTATCATTGCTCCCAGTATGAATGTGATTTTATATACGCGTAGCGTGCCATTAAATTCACATCTGTACAGCGATCGATTGGCGCACTTGAATCTGTAGAGAAATCTAATTTGACTTGATTTGGGCTTCTGCTGAGGCCTAAGTCAATTCGAAGTTAAGGAAATCATTTAGGAGGCAAATCTACGTGAAATTCATTGGCGTCGTGAGGTCTGGTCATATCATTGTAGGATAATTTCCACTAATAGTCCTTAAATTACCTTATGTGACCTAGATTGACTAAGTCCCTATACAAGAATTACTGATAATACCGAAACCTATTTATTCCTAATATAAGTAGAGTGTTAGTAGTAAACCGACCTACCATAATTTAGACTAAAGACAATGCGAAAGTGAACAATCAAAGAGAAAATTCAATTTCATTCTGGAATGTTGTGATTTGCAGAATGTACTTCAATGCTCTAAAAGATTTTTATTTTAATTTGTCATTTCATTATACATGTTTCATTGATTGATATACTTCGATTCATTTTAACTCATTTATGGCCCTAACAATGTTATAAAATGCATCCTAACTAGCTTCTCATAATCCCTGAACTTGGCAAGGACTTGATTTTGATTTATTCTTGATTAGAAACTTCCTTTAGTTTAGTATTGCTTTGAACTTTACAGCTAAAGGAGACTGCGACCAAACCTAAGTCTATACTATCTTGGTCATCCTATCTTCTTTCACTTTAACCTAACTGCATTCCATCCCGTCTTTTTTAAATGATATTCAGGGTCAGACGCCATTTTTGGCACATCATGACGTCGAGCGGTGTTCTGAGCTCATTTTCAACACTGGAATAAACTCTCTAAGCGAGACTCCAGGTGACTCTCAACAAAGTCGGCATCTCTCTTCTGACCAGGCAGGTCAGCTAGACGACAAGGAAGCCGCCTACTGGCAGAGCTACCAGTGAGAAAGTATACATTTTCCCCATCACTAGTCAAATTACTATAGTTAAACCCCAGTTCAGTAAGGTTGCATTAACTTGGCTTGACTTTGGCATGTGCAAAAGAAAAAAATGGAATGGTCATCGTATAGAGAAAATGCTTGAAAAATGAGAACCAGGAATCAAGTATGCGGTCACAACAGCCGCAAAAACGCGCACGTTACAGTAAATACAGATGACATAATGTGGCTATGACAGATGCACTTGTACTTGCATTAATTCCTTTTGACAAATCGTATTTCACCACATTTTTTATTCAGGATAGAACTCGCTTAAACTTGTAGTAAGATGGTTTATATCTGTCGGTGTGATGGAAATACTTTAAACTATGGATATATCCATGCAAAAATATGAAAATGCCTTTATAAACAATGAACCAGTTTTTACTTGATTTTGGAAACTCAACACAGTGCGCGAATCAACATGAACAGTCATTGGAGCGGCATGATTAAGACAAACAAATATTTTGTAAATGCCTCAATAAATAATATATCTACCCCGGCAGGCTAGTCACGCGAGTGGTGTGCCGAGTTATACTGGCTTAGATCAGATCTCAATGATCTGATAAAACCCGGTTTTTATATTTTATTTTATTTTTCGTACTTAAGTAGAGTATCGAGACTACCAGTAAATCAGTAATATGAGATGTATTCACCCAATTTCGTTTAATGTTCTGAAGGACTGGTAGAAGAATTTTCGCACAATGATATGAGTAGAGCTGACTTTCACATTGCCTTGCTTTCCCAAAAGGTGTTCTTACTCAGGGTGGACTGCAGTTTCGACCTCAAATCGGTCTTATCAACACCCCCGGCGAGAGTCGAACCGTGACAGTGCAGAATGCGAGCTTGACACGTTAACAACTCGACCAGATTGCCACGAGTTCCCTTGGGTCACAGGGCAGATGTAAATTTCAAGGAAGGCCAAACCTTTTTCCCGTATCACATCCTTTGGTGGGATTGTCAATGAAGCAAACGTATATTTGCTATAACAATCGACTACGTTACTTATTTTTCGTATTTAAGTAGAGTTTCGAGACTATCAGTCCTTCATCACCTTAAACTAAATAGGGTGAATACATCTCATATTATTTTTAACTCTGGGTTTGACAATCTCTAATTGAGGCTATTATTTACTATCGGGGGCAAATTCAGAAAGTACTATATAACTTCTTACGTTCTTTTTCCGATATCCCTGCTCATTTTAGAACTAGACACATGAAAATCTGATTGAGGAACAATGAGATAAGCGTGGAATTTTTCTCATCGCTCTGATATCTCTTGATAAAATAGTAACTATGATTAAAGCTTCACACAGGAATACTCTGTTTATAGAAAATGCACACTACTCATTGCCTTTATTTTTATGTACTTTTTCAGTGAGATGATTATCCCACCAGAAAAGGAGATGATGTGGAATGGCTTGTTAAATGCTATGACTCGATACTGGAAAATCCTTAAGGAGCGAAAACGTCTTTTAGGGGAAACAGATTCCCTACGGAAGCAAAATTTGGAGTTAAAGCAGCTTCTGCAGAACTATATGAACTCAAAGGTAAGCGCAGTAAATGGACATTGCTTTTTCCTTATACTTTTTCTATCGATTATATCGTGTAGACAAAGCATTTATCTTTTTTTTTATCCGACTACTAATAATCCTTAAAATTAATTTCGGTATCGATTGTAATGGCGAATACATGTTTGCTTAATCAACGATCCCACCATAAATGTGCTTTGGGCGAGGCCTGGCTTGCCTTGAATATCACATCTGACATGTGATTCACTGGCATCCGTAGCTGCTGGGTAGGGGAGTGGTAACTTGGGTCACCAGGATACTCCCAACCCTGTATTGAATCCAGTTGAGGTTACTGATTAGACTAAGGACATCCTGGTTGAGGTAGCCTTTAGGGAGGCAAGGCTAAGTGAGCTTCATTTGTATCATAAGGTCTACTCATCTTATTGTAGTTAAACTCCACACTCAGTCCTTAAATTTTCTTATGCAATCTAGTGTGACTAAGTTCTTATTTAATTTTTAAAGTCAAAAAGTATCTGGAACCATTTTGCTGACTAAATGCATTCTTATTGACATTCTGGCAACTTATTATTTCCTGTAGCACAAAAATATATACACGTGTATGTGCTAAGAAATTTGTTCGATCTTTAAGCATAAGGTGAAAAACATGTTTATGACAAAATTTCTTATTTTAATTTTCGACACATTTGATCTTACTGATGATAAATACCGCTGTCAGAAAAACAGCCCTATCACAGAGCACTTTTGCATTGAACATTATGTTGTGATATAATTTGTCATCGCCTTTTTAATAGCTTTAGTCAATGTATTCATGCAGTGAAATGTCTTAAGATATATTTCGACATCCTATCAAGTTGATTGCTATCTTAGTTATCTTGTTCACAACAAGATAACAAAAATCCGTCCGGATTTTAGTCTAATTGACTCTTTTTTTTCTTAAAAACAATAGCTTAATGTTATGTGAATACCGATATGATGCGGAATTTTGCAGTTCCTCAGTTTTCTTCCTCTTAAGGCATATATTTTAAACTATTTCCGACAGTCGTCCATACTTGCGAGGGATCTTTAAAGAGCATATCTAGTCCTGCGAGAGTTGCTGCAGCATGAGTGCATTCATTCCGCATCAAATCGTCGTGATGATTTGTTTTTAAGAGCTTTTAAGAATTTTAAAGTGGAATAGGAAACATATGCCGTTCAGTATGCATACAAGAATTTCACCTATGAACCAGAAATAAAAGAGCGATAGGAGGTACATTGACGTCCAGACACAGGCCGCTGTCTTGATTATGTTTACTGTCACTTAGGCTGGAATATTGCTGGTTTACCTGATCGTTTGATACTACCTATGGACATAAACGTGACATGTGGGATCAGCAGGAAGCTCACTCAATAGCATAATAGCATAATCTATTTTAAAAATGTTTTACAAGTTCTTTAAGATTGAAAACTTGAAGGGATTTTACCTTCTTTCCATTGCATTCTGTTTAAAGATAGTCTGACAAATTAATGCTTCCTTTTTTATTTTAGATTAAC